TTTTCCATTCCAAGTCATGAATTCACATTTATCCAGGACCTGCCTTGAATAAAGTTATCTGCAGCATCTGTGCTTACTTGAGTTCCAAGCTTGGGGCTGGAGACATGGGTCAGTGGTTAGGAGCACTGGCTGCTCTTGTAGAGGACCCAGGTTCAGTTCTCAGCACCCACATGGCGGCTAACAACAATCTGTAACTCCAGTCCCAGGGGATCCGACACCCTCTTCTGACATCCGGGAGCATTGCACTACACAGGTGCATTTACACACATGCAGGCAATACACTCATACATATAAAATAAAAATAATAAAGAAAATATAAAAAAGAGTTCCAGGGTTTCTCTTCTTTTTTATTTGCTTTGGCTGGATATCCTCTTAGATACCCAGGAACACCAAAGTTCTTAAAATTAGAATCCTAGAAGAGCCACGGCATTTTCCTAAAAGGGAAAATTAGCAGTGTCTATTTAAGAAGGAGCTTCATCAAGTTCTTTGCAACTAGAAATAGGAAGTAGCATAATTTCTGATAACAGAATTTTTCATGGGTCAAGTTCTGGAGATTGGTGACTCAGCATAAGTTGCTCCTCCTGATACGGCACCTTTCAACAACCAGTATGTGACCACATGTCAATCATTTACCATGCGTACTTTAATCTCAGTGTTATAAACTCTCCTATGAGATCTGTGTTGTTAACCCTTTCATTGCATAGTTGAGGGAATTAAAATTTGGAAAGGATAGTGTTTTCTAAGCTGAGCAGATGGCAGTAACTTACGACTTTCGACCTGAAATTAACTGCTTATCAATATTCTTACTATTTTCTAATCAACTCTGCACTCTTCACTGCGATTTTGTATTGCATTTTTATTCTTAATTCAATATCTTTAAGACTCAATCTAGTTCTTTTCCTTTGAGCACCTCTTGATTATGGTTTATTTTGTGTTTTTTTCTAGCTGATCTTCAGTGCTTTGGTTCTCTTCCTGTATCTCCATCTAACTTTCTAAACTCAACCACGCTTGCCCTAGTGCTGAGTAGTAGGATGTATTGCAGGTAATGACTAGATGATGTAACATTATTCACATGATAGAAATGAAAAAGACACCCTGGTAGAACTCATGGTGATGGAAACTGAATTAAAAATACTGGGTTTATGGGTTTGATTCCCAGCACCCACATGGCGGCTATGAACCGTCCTTAACTCTAGTTCCAGGGGAACCCGAAGCCCTCTTCTGACCTCCATGGCATTGCATGACACGGGTGCACTCACCTACATGCAGGCAATACACGGATACGCATAAAATAAAAATAATAAATAAAATACTAAAAAATACTGGGTTTAGTATCTAGAGAACAAAGATCTCAAGCAGAGAGAGACGGTCTTCGCATTTCAGATCACACTCAAGCTCCTACAGGTAGATTTTTTTCCTCATTAGAAACCTCAGTGCACATTCTTCAGTACAAAAACCTTTTATTTCAAGTTTAAATGGATAGTAAACAACAACAACAAAAATCCTCAAAGCAAGCTTAAATAATTTTAGGAAAGTAAGTGTGTGGGACTATAGGATTGGAGAGCTCCAAAGAGATAGACCTCACTGCATTAGTTACCGCCCGTCATGGATACATACATGAGTATTTAGAAGGCAGCTTGACCACATGGCCATTTACCCCCATGCAAGGCACCCTAATGAAACTCAATGGGCCTCTCTCTCTCTCTCTCTCTCTCTCTCTCTCACACACACACACACACACACACATGCACACACACACACACGACAAAATAGGAGGGGAACTTGTTGGGAAGAAGAGTTTCATTGTAAGGAGGTGCATTTGAGAGGGTAATGAAGGGTGAAGATGACTAGAATTCATCATATACATGTATGAAACTGTCAAAGAATTAAAATGAAACAAAAACCAGAAAAATGCAGAGGAACGTTTGGTAACGAACTTGATATAAATGCTTCTCTGCTTGTGCTGGGGTTATATACTAATAAACTCACCATAAGTCAAAGGTTTTGTAGGTTGAAAATGCATTCAGTACCCTATTAAACCTTCAGACAGATGTAGAATTGTGATTAGAACCACTGTGAATTGGGTCCTATCTGAATATATATTCTAGTGTAAATTATTGCATTAAAAATGGGAAGTCGAAATTTATTTTAAAATTTCTAAGTAGAGGCTCGCAGTATATATTAGGAATTAAAGACGCTACAAAGTTGATGACAGATTTTTTTCTATGTGGCCCTGGAGTTCATATGTTGGAAACCATAGAAAATGTGACAGGAGACTGGGAAGATACTCAGCTCTAAAGTGCTTGCCAGGCAAGCATGACGACCTGAGTTTGGATCCTCAGTACTCAAGTAAAAAGCTGAGTGTGGCAATGCACACCTGTAACCTCAGCATAGTGGGATGGAAAACAGAAAAATCCCTGAGGTTTGCTGAGCAGTGGTGGGTGAGCAGACCCTGTCTGGAGTATAAGGTAGAGAACAACAGAGGAAGGGTTAACCTCTGAACTACACACCACACACACACACACACACACACACACAGACACACACACACACACAGACACACACACACTAGGATTGAGAGGTGAGAGATATAAGAAGTGATTAGGTCAGGAGAGCTCTGTCCTGAGTCATACTATGCTGTTATGAGGGAGTGGACTCCTGAGAAAAGGATCAGTTTGAGCCCTTCTCCTCTCTCTTTCCCATGTGCATTCTTGACTGTGGCCTTCTGTCATGGGAAGATGCAGCACGAAGGCCTTTGTTAAAGCAGCCCTTTGAATTGGGACTTCCCAGGCCAGACTGAGAACGCTGAGTCAAATGGTTCTGTTCATCATAAGTTACACTGGCAGTCATATTCTGTTATGGAACTACAAAAAGGTCTAAGGCATTGGGATTTAACAGCACTTACAATATTTGTTTGAGAAACATGTACCATGAAATTCGAGCTAGGGCATATTGAGAGCTCTTGTGGCCTTCTCAGAAGCACTGTTACATATCATATATTCATTTTTGAACAGATATGAAAAACATTTTTCTGGTCCTGATTTCTGAAATGAATCAGAGGCCCAGCAACATGGAAGGGCATATAACAAAGTACAAATATTTCATGTACCCTAGATACTTGATCCACTACTTAGAAGTCCGTCTTTGCCACACTACTCCAGAAATTTACATAGGTATGTAAATGCACACAAATTACATGTTCTGTGAAAGCAGAAACAAATGGAGTAACAAAACATTTCCTTATGGTTTGCATTTAAGAACATATTAGAAATTTTTAAATATCTGTACATGTTCCTTTAAAAAATGTCAACATAAAGTGCAGAAAATAAATAACTGTGGACTGCTGAGTCACAAATGGGACCATTTATATCACCCTGCCTCCAACACACACACACACACACACATAGGCCCATGGTAGAAGCAGGGCAGAACGGTTGTAAGACCCAGAAGTTGGGGAGGACAGGAGTGAAACAGGATATGACAGGACACTGCACTCATGAACTCACAGCAGCTGTGGTTGCCCGCACACCAGACAAACATCCCAGCAAGGAGGAGAAGGGATCCACGGCCCCTTTCCCTGAGGGGCTATTGATAATTGATAGCTGCTAGGAGCGGGAGACTCAGTTTTCTTTAAGGGTATGGTGCCTGGCAGGTTGACCACACCCCAGTGGATGGACCCACACCCAGGCATATGTGAGCAGCACAAATTGGACTTGATGGGTTATTAAACAAAAGAGGGAGGATGTGAAGCTGAGTGGTTAGGGAGGTGGGGGTGGATCTTGGAGGAGTTAGGGGGAGCTGTTGGGGGTGAATGTGATCAAAACACATTGAATGAAAATCTCAAAGAATTAACTGAAAAAATTTAAATGTCAACATAAGGCCAGTGAGATAGCTTAGTGGGTAGAGGCACTTGCTGCCAGGCCTGACAACTTGAGTTCTATCCCCAGAAGAGAGAACCGACTCCTACAAGTTGTCCTTTGGCTGCCACGGTTGCATCATAACACACATGTACCCACCAACCCACAGACAATAAATAAAAATTTAAATATAAAAAAGTCAAAATAGCATTCATTACCTTTTGGATGTAAAAGTTTTTTCATTAATGAACAATGCTGCAATGAGATTCCTCTGCAAGCTTTTGCACTTATATTGTTGTAAAATCATGTACACATAGAGAAGTGCTAGGCAGCAGTTTTTAGCTTGAGGGATATTTTACATACTGTTAATTTTGAGAGCTCTCCCTAAATTATTTGGCTTGTGGGGGCTGGAGAGATGGCTCAGGAGTTAAGAGCCCTGGCTCTCTTGCAGAGGACCCGAGTTTGGTTCACAGCACCCAGTTGGTGGCTAACAATCATCTGCAACTCCAGTTCCAGGAGCTCAGACACCCTTTTCTGGTCTCTGCAGGCATTGCACAACATGGGTGCACTTACAGACATTAAATAAATAAATAAATAAATAAATAAATAAATAAATAAATAAATAAATAATTTAGTTTGTGTCTTTAGTGGGTGGACACAAAAATGCATTTCCAGATGTTGTTTCAAAAGGCTCCGTGTGCTTGAAGGGCCCATGAAGAGAAGGAGATGGATTATCGGGAATTCATGTTTTAGAAGCTTCTATTTTGATGGCTGGATCAATCCTGGTCATACATCAGAATCACCAAGAGAACTTAAAATTGTCTAAATCAGAACACCAGAAATTCTAACTTAATTTTCATGATATTCAGGGCTAAGCTAGACACTAGCACTGCCAACTTGGACCTAGGGATTCCATGTGTAGCCAGTGTCTAGGATCTCCTGCTCAGATAGAGAAAGAAGTGGTATACTTCTTTCCACTAAGATTGTGCCCACAAAGGACTAGAGAGAAATAGTAGTCAGTTTCCTATACAAAGTCCTCACAGTAGGTGAAAGGATCAGGTTAGGATGGATGACAGGGAGGGCCAGGGGAAGATCTAAGCAAGGGAAGGGAAGGGCCGTGATTCTCTAGAGCTGCTCTCAGAATCAATGCTCTGAGCACACATGGATTTGAGACAGAAGCTGCTTCCATGATCTTCGTAACCCAGGGTTGTTCTGAATCAGTACAATGGAGTGGCCGGTTGGATAGGCAGATGAGACAATTCTAAGCAAAGCACTCCAGAAAAGACTGGAATTTAAAGTGTTGGAAATGAACAGAATCAGAGCGGCTGCATTGATTGTGTAGGGGATGAGAAAGCAGACACTTTCTTTGATGGCCCGCAGGTGAGCCTCCATGCTGGGGTCTCTGGAGCCTGTGGCACTGTTTCTCATGTGCAGACTGTGTCTTCTGAGAGAGAAAATCAGCAAGGTGGTGGCTGCGATGTCCATGATCAGAAGAGGGAGGATTCCCAAGCTGAATAAAAAAGCCACACTGACCACATTGGTTTCCATGACATATTTTCCACTTGAAGTTGACGTTGTTGATAGTTAAAGAACTGTTACTATACACGGTGTAGGTGTCCTTGAAGAAGAGCATGCTGGAGCTGAAGGAAATAAACACCCAGAACCACAGAAGCCAGGGCATTAATCCAGAAATTCGCCATTTCAGCGTGCGGAAAATTAAGAGAAATTGGCGATCTTCACAAAGTAGAAAAAGCTCAGCAAGGCAGCAAACCAGAGGTCACAGTAATTCAAGAATATGGAATTTACTTTGACTATACTACGTAAAACAGTGTTGTAAAAAGGATCTTGGGACATGGGGAACAAGATAATTTCTACCACGACAAAACTTTGGAGGCTTATTCTGGATACACTGAGGAGAAACAGGATCCTGTTGTTTATGGAAACTGCCTTTTTCTGGACCCATGTGGCCATGTTTACCACTGTGATGAGCCCACTGGCAACAATACCAGTGATGCACTCAGTGGCTATTACTGTAAAAATTAAGATGATGAATGGTGATAAACTATGTTTCTGGTAGTTGTTGGGCTCAGCCATCCTGGGTTGTTTCTCTTTGGAGCTTGGAGGAAAATGTGTCCCAAATGCTCAACAGACAGGTCCTTGAGAACTCAGGTGATTTATGTCACAGGAGGAAGAAGCTCATGTACCATTTCCAAAACACTCAATTTGTTTATCTTAAAATTCTCATTTCTAAATATGGAGATGCAAATGATGGATTATTTGGTTTCTAGTCCTCTCTTGAGTTTTGGACATGTTCATATTAGTTTATTTAAGAGACACAGGGAAGCACTTGCATGGATTCCACATTATAAACCACTAATATATATTGAGAACCATATTCTTTGGTGACTTCAGTTTAAACATGGGACCATCAAGTTATTATTTAACTGGTTTTCACCTGTGAATTCAAAGAATGAATAGAAATTAAATATTTCTATATGCATATGTAGGAATCAGTTTGAAACTGTTTGAACTGATTAAAATGAAAGACATGTATAAGTACATGTACATATATTCCTAGTATTTCAAATATGTATTTCTTATTTTGTGCTAGATAATGTTTAAACTATATATATATATGCATACACATATATCCACACTTAAACATCATTTGTTTCTATTATATCCATTTGGCAGAAGAGGAAATTGAGTCATGCAGTTGTTTAATAGCTTGTCCAAAGCACACAACGTGAGAATGATAGGTCTGGTATTGAAACCCAGTTCACCTGACCCTAGAGCTCTTTCTTGCTCACTGCCTTATACTGCCCAGACCTGTGTGGATGCTTCTGTCTATGTCAGAGATTAAGAGGAAAGTTGACTCAACTGTGACATTTTTCCCTGAAAGCCTTTTATTATATCTTAACCATTTAAAGGAAATAATTTAAAGAAGACACTAATAATTTTTTGTTTGTGCATCCAAATGTTTATCAAACCTTCAATTTTTTGCTGTCTATAGAACTAAGATTAACATGTCATCTTCTGATTTTTTGAAAAAGACAATACTTTTTGTCATTTTGATTGTGAGCCTGAGCCTGTGAGACTGTGCCATCTCTCCAGCCCAAGACATGCCTTTTAAAAAGAGGTAGTATGTTCTTTAAAGAATAGATTATTTGAGGTAACAAATTTCTTCAGTTATATGTAAGAGATTATATACACACACACGCACATGTCTTTCATTTTAAATAAAACAGTAGGAAAACAAAGGGTTGAAGTAAGAGTGCCACAGTTGCTTTACAAGGTAGGCTAACAAATCTTAGGGTAAAATATCACCCATCCTCATGCAAATTTGGAATATTAAAATGAAAATAGATGGAAGTGAATCACTTTTTACTGGCTAAAGTTGTTTCTGATTTTAATATGCAAGCATTGAACACACACGATAAAATAGACTGCAGCCAAAGTGAGTTAACTTTTTATGAATGTATGGAACTCTAAAATATGATTAAGATGATTAAGATGTACTATGTGAAGTGCACAAAACTCAATAAAAATATATATTGAAAAAACAGAAATCAGTAAATAATAGCCTCCCCCCCAAAATGATAAGAAAGTAATTCTTTACCAGGTATATACCACCAGCACTTGGGAGGCAGAGACAGGTGGATCTCTGTGAACCTGGCCTATATAAGAAGTTTCAAGCCAGCCAGGGTTGCAGAGTGAGATCCTGTATAAAAACAAAACAAAGCCGGGCGTGATGGCACACGCCTTTAATCCCAGCACTCAGGAGGCAGAGGCAGGCAGATCTCTGTGAGTTCAAGGCCAACCTGGTTTACACAGTGAGTTCCAGGACAGCTGGGGCTACAGGGAGACCCTGTCTCAAAAAGACCAAAAAACCCACAAAAAACCACACAAACAAAACAAACAAAACAAACAAACAAACAAACAAAATAACCCCCAAAACAAGCAAACAAAAAAAACCAAACACACACATACACACACACACACACACACACACACACACACACACACACACACAACGTGACTCAACATTATGCGACTGGTAAGAAACTCACCTTTGCTGCTGTGGGGACATAAACAAACGGGAAGGATGAAAATAATTTTCCAAATAAATGGGGCCCAAAGGTATGCAGGAGTAGATTAGCCAAACAATGCTCACGAATTCTAAGTCACGGATTCATGTTTTCTTCCATGTTTATGGGGATGTAGGAAAGTGCTGCTTGTACATACTCTGCAAATTTTCTAGGTCTAGTTTCTTTCTTTCATAGGAACAAGTGTCACTATTCAACACTATTCTTTTTAAGTTGTGCTTCAATTAGTGTTTACTCTAAGCTATAATTGCTGATTTTTTTACTCCATTTGTTTAATGCTCTGATCATGTTTTTGATTTTTCCATGACACTAATATGAATTTAGAGAAATTCTTTTTTTTAATTGTTGTTTTTTTCTAGATGCTTTTGTTTTTTAAAACTTTTACAAAAACTTTATTGAGAATTTCATACATGTATATAAGGTGTTTTGATCAAATCCATGCCCAGTCCCTCCTCTCCAACATTCTCCCCTTTGAAGAGGTAACCCTAAAATCTTTTAAGGATTAGATACAAGCTCCCAAATATTTTTGACATTTTTGGCCCTTGGAACAGAGTATGTTGCTAATAGGCCCAAGAACATTTTGACTTTTAACTGAGAAACTGGCTACATTTCTCTGGGGTCTTTTTACCCTAACCACCTAGCCAGTTCCTACCTCCTGTTCTTATCACACCATCCTCTGAAGGGGTTACCCAAATTGCCAGTAGGGAATAGGGACACAGAGTGCTCTGGCTTCTTCCATGCTGAACAGGGACACAGGGTGAGGCAACTGGAGTACCCCTTCAGTGGGTCTACCTAAAAGACTCCCAAATTGCATAGCTCTTATCTGAATTTAGAGAAATTCTTTACCAAAATGTTAAATATAGTTGGAGAAAATTCAGGTTCATGTGTAAATTTGTTCACCAAACACTCAAAATATCTCTAAGGAATGATTCACAAGCAGGGCGAGCATATGTGCTGCCGTGCTGGAGAACATCTGGCATGTAACATGGCATTTGTCATAGAAATTTGGTAAGTCAGACTTCTGGCTATTTAAAATATATGCCAATTTTATAAATCATAGATTCTATTTTTGATTGCTAGACTCATATTTCTTGAGTTCTGAGGTTATTTGGAATTATGTTCAGACCACTAAAAATTTCATTTGTCATATTTCAGATGATTAATTTAGTAAAACTACAAGTTTTTATGGTTCTATTTTGTACCGTTAATGTTTGTATTCATATTATTATCTATAAAATAAATGATTTTTGTCTTTAACATTTGCCTTATTTTTTTCTTTTTTTGAGACAGAGTCTCCCTGTAGCCCCCGCTGTCCTGGAAGTTGCTATGTAGACCAGGCTGGCCTCAATCTCACAAAGATCCACCTGCCTCTCCCTCCCAAGTACTGGGATTAAAGGTATGTGCCTCCTCACCCCACCAATATTTGTCTTTAAAAATTAGTTCCAATAAGTGGAATAGCAACTCCTTCACTTACGATTGAAAGAACGTCTGAAACCCATTTTCACTCAAGAACCAGGTGAGCACAACAAAGCCGTCGTTTGAAGCCTTATACTAATTAACCCTTATTTGATTTACTTTTCTAACCTGGCATGAAACCATATAGAACAGACAGCAGGCTGTCAGAAATCTACTTCTTCAGTAAGGGACCCAACACGTTATTAGCCTTTCCATTTCAGGTAAATGCTAAACATTTTATTAGTATACATTCATTCAATCCCTTTCCCATATACGCATATGCTCTTGAATTAACAACGTAAAACTCAAGAAGAGTTTTACTAAAAAGTGAAATTGCCCATTTAGACGCTAGTCTCTTGCTTAGTTATTCTGTCTTGTGTTTCTAGTACCATGTTGAATAGAACTGGAAATGGATACCTCTGTTTTATTCCTGATATTAGAGGAAAATATTCCATAGTTTAAAAAATTTATTTTAATTTTATGTGTATGATTGTTTTGCTTACATTTATGCCAAGTGCACCTGTGTCATGCAAAGCCTGCAGAGGCCAGAAGAGGGTGTTGAATCCCCTGGAAGTGGAGTTATGGGAGGTTGTTAGCTGTCATGTGGGTGCTGGGAATCAATCCCTGGTCCTCTGGAAGACCAGACAGTGCTCTCAACCTCTGAACCATCTCTACAGCCCCAAACATTCTGGATTTTTTGCTATTGAGTTATTATTCTAGCCACTGTGGACTTGTCATATATGCTTTTTTATTATGCTGAGGTGCATTTTTCCCACACCTAGTGTGTTGATACTTGTTATGAAAGATAATGGGTTTGTAGAATTTCCTGTCTGGGGCTTAGGGCACAGCTCAGTGGATAAAGTGCTTGCTCTGCCTCCATAAGGACTTGAGTTTAGATCCCAAGCACCCACATAAAAAGTCAGTGTGGCAGCACCTGCCTGTAATCCCAGTGCTGCGAGGCAGAGACTGAACAATTCCAGAAGCCTGTTTGCCACTTAATCTATCCAACTGGTGAACATCAGGTTCAGTGAGATATCCCTGTCTCAAAAAATAAGGTGGAAAGTGATAGAGGAAGACCCTTGGCATTCACCTCTGGCTTCCACATGCTCATTCACAGGCACGTACACTTTCACATATAAGTGCACATACACGCATAAACCACACACACACACACATGCACGCATGTGCACACACACACACACACACACGCACGCACACACATAACTTTTCCTGCATGTGTTGAGATGATTAGGTGATTTCTCTTACTTCTGCTATATTGTATATCATATTTATTGATTTTCATATGTTTAATCATCCTTACATGCCAGTAATAGGTCAGACTTAATCATGACCCACAGCTCTTTTGATGTGCTGTTGAGTTGTTTGTGACTTGGCATGGTGGTCATGCCTTTAATACCAGTACCCTGGAGGCAGAGGCAGGAGGATCTCTGTGAGTTTGAGGCCAGGCTGGTCTACATAGCAAGTTCCAGGTCAAAAAATCTGTGGCTATTTTGTTGAGAATCTTTGCATCTG